ATGGAGGATCTGCGGTGGAAGTGGTCTCCAGTTATATGTACTTGGGTGTGCACCTGAACAACAACCTCAGCTGGGGCAACAACACCACCAGCCTGATCAAGAAAGCTCATCAGAGACTCTACTTTCTCAGGCGGCTGAGACGAGCTGGTCTCGTGTGTCAAACACTCACAAAAGGGGGCCAAAATTAAAACCTTTTTCAAACTAAGGGCCAATTTCAGAGACTAAATTAGCTCAAATCAGATACCCAATATTTTTTCTTAGTCACAGGTTCCCCAACAAGAGTTTGATTGGTCTCATTTGGTGTTCTTTGTTGTACTTTCTACATCATAATCAAAGATTACTGAAAAAATTCAAGACATAGAAGTGTTTTACATTTCACACATCATCTTGGGGGCCATATAAGATGTCAATGAGGGCCACATTTGGCCCCCTGGCCTTGAGTTTGACACATGGTTTAGAGATTTTAGAACATTGTTAAGAACATTGCAAGGGTGTGGGATGGGTTTATAAAGCCTTACAATATAAATTCTAAAATAAATATAACGTCCCTACTTTGCGGGTTTTCACTTATTGTGGGGGTGTCTGGAACGTAACCCCCGCGATAAGTGAGGGACTACTGTACCCGGAGAAAACCCACGCATGCACAGAGAGAACATGCGAATTCCACCCAGAAAGGCCCCAATTGAGTTTCGACCTGGCAACCTTCTCACTGAGAGGTGGCAGCTCTACCATATTTAAAAATAATAAAAAATTATTAAAATTAATTATTTTAGCTTTTTTTTTACACATTTTACTTCCAGTAGCTGCAAATAAATAAAAGCTCTACATGTTGCTATATGATTGTGATCATTAAGGGAATCACTGAGGGAACATTATTACCTGCAGTGTTCCCTCAGTGAGGACTGAACTTGGCAAAAGGGCCTTCTCCTTCTCTGCTCCTGTTTCCTGGAATATCTTACAAAAAGATCTGAAGCTCTCGACCTTGACCTTGACCTTGACCTCTCTAAGTGGTTTTAAACATCTGCTAAGTTCATGGCAAAAACCAATGCAGACATGTTCTTGATTTTAGTTTTCTACATCACGTTACAACCTAGCTGTTTTTGTTCCGTTTTTTTTTAAAATTTTTATCCCATTTTCTTTCATTTGTTCTTCTCAATTTATATGCTTTCTTTTATGATTGTCCACTGTTGTCATCACTCTCTGTTAAAATCAGGTCTCTCTTGTAAATGAGTCCCCGAGGCTCAATGGAACTAACCTGTATAAATAAAGGTTGAATGAAAAAACAATTAAGCTTTAGCTGCGCTCTTTGTTGTTTTATGTCGTCAGATGCTGTGAAAAGACGATGGAGGTGATGAGGAGCTCCCAAGAAGCTCTGCTGACAATTGTAGAGGTACATACGGGCATAGAGCACAACACACAGCCCCCTCTGCTGACCTTTAGTTCCTTTAATCGACGCACAAAACAACAATGTTCTTTGTTTTGTGTGCTGTGAAGGTGCTGCTGTACGACCCTCTGTTTGACTGGACCATGAATCCCCTGAAGGCCTTCAACCTGCAGCACGACGAGCAGCAGGAGCTCAACGCCACCCTGAACTCCACCATGGGAGGAGGTGACCTTGACAGCCATCGTAGATCCAGGTGACTGAACAGTCGGGAACATTCGCTCTAGATTTAAAACCCACAAACACTACTTCCTGTCAAATTACAAAATAACCTTTGTATCTGTTATCCTGCAGCGACAGCCAGAACTTCAACAAGGTGGCGGAGCGAGTGCTGCTGCGGCTGCAGGAGAAGCTAAAGGGGGTGGAGGAAGGGACGGTGGTCAGTGTGGGGGGGCAGGTCAACCTGCTCATTCAGCAAGCCATGGACCCAAAGAACCTGAGCAGACTCTTCCCAGGATGGCAGGCCTGGGTGTAAACCCAAGGATGATCAAACCTGGCTTCATACTATGCCAGCTTTGCACTTTAATACAACGTCAGAGCAGAAACAGGTGTACTCTGATGTTCTCTGGTGTACTCTGATGTACTCTGATGTTCTCTGGTGTACTCTGATGCACTCAGGTGTACTCTGATGCACTCTGGT